GGATCTTGTATAACTTATCTTAAAGATAATTCATATAATAACTAGCAAATTAGAACATTAAAATTAAATGCCTTAAATACTAATGAAATATTGCCTTTTACTTAGATACTTCGATTGCCTCCGATATAGCCAATTATTCAATTGTCATCAAATTTTAAGGTATTAATTGATTAATATTTAATTAAATATCTGTCATTCTAAAAGCCAAACTTAAGCAAAGCATTTCTTAAATATTATTCGCAATACTGAATGCAATTTTCAGGCATACCAAATATTTTTCATTTTTCTTTTTTTCACACCATTTATTATTAAGTTATGTAACCCCGCAACAGTCTGCAATATTTTGTAATGCAATCTAAGAAAATGCCCTTTGTTTCAATTGCAAGAGTGGAAGTGCACTTAAGCCTATTAATAGTAGCAGGCAAAATGTCAGCCGAGTTGTTGGAAAGCGCATTAAAAATGCAAAACACAGGCAAACAAAAACAGAAAAATAGCCGAGCAAACAACAAGAGTGAAATGAAAATGGAAAATAATTAGCCCGGTTGACAATGCAAACAAGTTAGTAAACCAAAAGAAAAATGCATAAAAAGACTAGCAAATACCCTGTAGAATTAGTATTCACCTCAACTGTATTAAATTTTGCTATAAACGGAACTGAAAACGCCACTTTTTTGTTTCAAATTTGCAGATTCTGAATCGAAACATAAATTAAATATTTTGTATGAAGCAGTTACAGTAATCGCTATAATTATGTGGAACTAGTTGAGAACCTTTAACGCAACCGGAAATAAAATGTGATTTGATTTATCACCCTCTAAAAAATAACATTTTGAGAATATTGAGTTGAACTTTGGTTCTTAAACAATTCTATGGTTTTCTTTGTTTAGTGACCTCTTTTTGAATAATTCGATTATGTTTTTTACTGGTTGCACATCCATTTCCCATCAATATCCATATTTTATAGTCTTCAGCTCTGAATATATCGTTCAAAACTAGTTAGCTACTTTTACAGGGTATTTAAATTAGATTGCGGTGCTTTGGCCTTCGCTGGATTAATGTCACACTGATTGTTATTATATTTTTACATTTTGTTTTTAAATTTTTTATGACATTTTCGTCAGACTGCTTGACCTTGCAACAACTGCAACAACAGCAAACGACGATAAGCCATTTGTAATTTATGTGGCATGCAACTGTGCAACTGTGCAACTAATTAAAGTCAAGTTTTTTTTTTCAGTGGTTTACCCGTTGTTTTTTAATTGTTAACAACCATTTTATTTCTCTATTTTATTTACTCTTTTTGTGCACCTTAAATGAAAATATTTTTGGTTGTGTGCATTGTTAATAATTTTAGCATTGCATGCAACTGCGAATTGGGAAATTTGAGGCCATTTGAGTAGCTCAATCTTAGCGCTGCATTCTTGTCGTGCCTCAAAAAGGTGTAATAAAATGCAGCATGTAAAACTCCAAAGGGCATACAAAATAACAAATTACAACTGCCAAAAGAAATTGCTCAACGCCAAATTAAAAATTGTCATTACGACTATTTGTATACACTAACAATTCTTCTGAGCTGTTTGCTGGGTCCGTTAAAGGATAATAAAATTCGCTTCGGGTCTTTATATATATACTATATGAACTAATAATATCAGTTTGTGTAAGTTGTTCTTTAAAAAATATTGAATATCGATTCGGTTTCTCAATTTCAATAGTTAAAGTTGAGGTTCCGGTTCCGGTTCCGTTTTCGTCTTTGCAGCCTGGCTTAAAGTGCCAGTTGATCTTTAGTTTATTGCTTTGTTTATTGAACATTTTTGAGAGATTTCGTTAGCCAAAGTGAAGAATCTTAGATTTTATGCAAGTGTTTTATTTATTTGTAAGAGTATACACACACACACACACATGCACACACACCCAAAATGAGGTTTATAGTTGAACATGCAACGAAATGAGCGGCTGACATGACATGCCAACGGTTCTGACATGCACACCTCTCAGGAGAATGGGTGTGTGTGTGTGTGTACTCATATGAGTGTGTGTGTGTGTGTGTGTGTAGATTTGCATAATGAAAAATAAGGAAAACGGATGACTGTGAGTGGCAGAGCCCTGAAACCAAACCCCAAACCACAAGAGCAACACTTGAGTTTGCTTACATCTCTCACTAATTAACAGAGCACTTGTAATTGTAATTGTAATTGTAATTAAAATTATAATTATAAATATAATTATACGCAGTGCTTATTTAGATAAGGCTCAACAGTTGAGAATGCATAATAAGCCGAGGAATCAGGAGAAAATAAACACAACCTGAATATTCAATGAATTACAAACAAATGCAATACATTTTAGTGAGCTCTCATTTGAAAGTATAGAACAGGAAGAAGGATGCATATATAGATATATACTAAATCATTCCAGCTTGACTTTTTCTTTTGCTGTGTATATTATTAATTAATATTATTAGCTTTTAGTTTCTAATACAATTATAAAAATGTTTGTGTTTATTTCGCCAAAAACTTAATATAAAATATACAATTTCTGCGATTTCACATTTATTCATCTATTTAAAGAAATTTAGTTATATTAAGCATTTAAATATGTGTATATTGTATGATAAATAGGCAAAGCAATTGAATAATTATTAAATTTACACTCCACACACTGCAGTAGTACCAAGATTAATATCCCGGCAGCCCGGATTGAAATTAACCCCAACGGCAGTCCGAGCAAATTCTATGAATTTCAGAAGAATGGGAATTGTTAAAGTAGTTTTTCGATTTGAATTTGGAGTGTGATGTTTTCTTACCAGTTCTACCCAAACACTGATCAATTAAAAACGCACATTCGCTTTTGTAATGTTTACAATTATTTACTGCCGCCCCCCCGCCCCCCGGCGTTGTTGTGACTTGGGCACAGAACGGGAACTTTTTGTCACACAATTTCCTGTTCATCCATTTGCAGTAGAGGGCACCATTCCGAAAGAGAAAGAGTTGAGCCTGAAGTCCTCCCAACAGTTGGCTCAAAATGCAACAATAGACTAAGAGACGGCCAAGTGACATCATTGTAAGTTAACTAAATTTAGACTGATCCATTCCGGAGACGAATCGCATTTTATATAGCCGAATCGTAATTAAAATCTGTAAATATTTATCAAAGAAAAAGTAAGAGCTGAAAGCTGAATGCGGCGTTAACTTTGTTTGCCAAGTGCTGAGACAGTAAAAGTCAAAAAGTCAATATTATTATTGGTGGACAAACAAACAAGGCCCAAATGGCTTACAATCAGCTAGCCAGCTAAGCATATGATTATATTTGAATGCTGAATTAAGGCATAGAAGATTGGCTTGAAACTGGGTCAGCTGGCATGTTGAGGTAGCTGGTAAGTTAATTTATAATTAATTACTTAGGGTGTTTAAGATTCTGCACCTAGCAAGCTGGAATGCTCGAATCTAGAGAGAGACAGAGTAAAGTGAGAGAGTGCTAATAATAATATAATATAATATAATGAAATGTTTACGGCTTATCAATAATATGTCAATTGTGACTGTTATTAATTAATTGAAAGAAGAGCTGTTATCAATAATGTCAGCTTTTTGATACATAGATTTCGAATGAAAGTTTCACACTTGCTGCTGCCAAGAGATAATATGAAATAAACTTGATCTGGATTAGGTATTTACGTTCTATTTAATGTCAACTAGAGTCAGTCGATAGGTTTGTGGGGGTATTTAAATGCGAGCTGGTGCAACACTCTTGACACAAGGCTTTTCAAATTGCGTTTTTGATGATACTCATTTCCAATGGGTTCTGGATGTGGTAATAAGACTCTTTGCAATTGCTTAAAAATAAATCCCAAAGCACCGAATTTAAACTGGTTTCGCATTAAAGCAATTTGTTTTGGGCTTTACACATTGCTAAAGCGTTTCAGTGGGCCAATAAATGATGCACAAATCGTGCAGCTAAGCATTCGAAGCGCGTTTGTCAAACCGGAAACAGCAGATCGTCCATTTTGATGATTGCATTTCCGATTGTCCCAGCAAGGCGCCAAGGGAAAGCGCAACAATTACTCATTTTAGCATTTGACGTTTGTTCGTGTGTGTATTCGTGTGTTGGTGTGTGAGTATGGCATTGAAACACACACACTCACACACGGAGATGCAGAGAGAGAGAGGGAGGGAGAGAGAGCTATTGCAATGAGTTATGAAGTAGTTTTTGTGTGCGTTGCTTTTTAATTGCAATCGCATAACATAAAAACGAATTTGCCATAAATTGCACATTTTCAAGGCAAAACAACAACCACAACAACAAATTATGGTTATGGTTGTCACACACACACACATACACAACACAATACACATACATACACACACACACGGGCTCTGGTTGTATAATTTATGAAAGTACGTTTTTCGTTTGCTTTTTGTATTGTGGCATTAGGAAAAACGCCTGCGGATGCAATTAGAAAATACTGCTAACAACAAAAGTCTTTTACTAATTGTGTATATGTATGTATGTGTGTGTGTGTGTACATTGTCACAAGATATTTTAAGATTAGAGCATGGGATGCTTTCTAATCCGATGTGTAAATAACACTGCAAAATGCTTAAGCTTTCAAATATTTAAATTGGACTTCACTTAAGGTTTGTTAAATTAAGTTAGCACAAAAAAGCTTTACACTTTAACTTTATTATGTGGGTCAGTTAACCTGCTGTTAAGAAACTAATTTGCTCATGTTAAGCTAATGTTAATCTAATCAAAAGTGATTTACTGTTAAGAGAATTGCATTATGTTAAGCAGTGTTTGCATAATGCTAATAACTTAAGCAGCTGTTAATAACATCATTTTGTTATATTTAACATAAGTGATCTACTGTTAAAAGAATTATAATATTCAATTTAAATTAAGAAATGGCAATATCCCCTGCAAATTATAAATTATTTAACACTGTTTTATTGTCATCCGAATATGTATTTTAACATATGCAAATAATATGCACAAATACATCTTCAAAGGGCATAATAAATTGGTGTCCCCTCGTTGTTGCTGTTGTTGCTGTTGCTGCTGCCGTTGGAGCCGCATGGTTGCTTGTCATTGACTTGTATACCTGCACAGAGTCGCATGGTTACCCTTTCATATACTGAAATTGACAGTTGGCAAAATAAGTGAGAGTCCTTTTGGGGTTATTCTATTTTCGACTTACTTCCTCTGGTGCTACTTCTGCAATTGGCTAACCTTATCTGGCAATTATTGCTGCGCAGCTCACAGAGATTGCTGCGACCATGGCGAATGCATCTTCTGCCACTGTTTCTACAATTGGCTCGGACACGGCGTTGGCATCGCTCCACCCTTCCCGCCTCGACTTTCGTATCGCTGGAGATGGCCAAGAGAATCAGGCCCAAAATGAATGTTATAATTAAAGCAGTCTTCATGCTACAACTAGTATCTAATAATGTCGTATAATTTTTTAGTTGTTATTCGCTTTTATAGATCCAAAGTTGGCATGAATAAAAAACGTAAAAAACACTTCCTAGTTTCGCTTTGTCTTAACTCGGCTTGTTTGTGTTCAACAGTTGCACAAATATTTATGTAAAAGTGCGAATAACCTTGGTAACATTGTCAAATTTGTGCTAAAAACATTGTTTATTTATATCTGTTGTTGTGTTTTTTTTTAATACATATATCTTTATATACTCTATTTTTATTTTGAAAATTATTAACCGCGACGGGTTCTTATAACAATTGGCCGAACATTTGAATTATATGTGGAGCCAGTACCAAAAATGGATGAGGAAGAGGAGGAGCTGCCTGAGCATTGCCTTCGACTGCCAACTGCTATATTGGAACAGAAGCTCATGGATACAGCGGTGTAGGTTATGCGATTGACACAAGTCTCGTAGCGCATTAGGCAGTTGTTTCTGAAACGCTTGCAGAGATTGGAGCTACCAAGACGGCCGCAGACACTTGTGGTCCCATAGTAGTTGCAGTTCGACAGGACGCAAATCCGGGGCGTATTGCTGCTGATTCCGGTTCCTGTCAGGCTGCTCGCGTAGTTGTATTGTCCCCCAATCAAACTGCTGAAAAGGATCAACAGCAGCACTGACAAAACCAATCCGTATTTCATCTTAGAAAGTTGTGTTAACTTTCTGGCCACAGTCGGCAGCTATTTATAGTTCTCTCAATGCGATCTCTGCTCGATGGCCTCAGACTTTGACTTAAGACGACATTGAAATCAAGAGTTTCTTGGCCCACAACACTTGTGCAAACAACTCTAAGATTATATAATTAATTTTGCTCTACTTCTTTGGTTGAACAACAAAATGCAAGACGCATTTATAAATTTGGAATATTAAATTGCTAACTAGAATTTTAGCCATTTATTAATTTGTTTATTAAGAGAAGCTGTTGGTTCTTAATCAAAAATGAACTATATTTTTGTTCAGTTTCATTTTCAAGACAATTAATTATAATTAAGGTGAATGGGATTTTTAAAAGCTAATCACTTCGCTTCATAATGCTTTAATTTTGGCAAATCTCACATACCAAAATAATACCACTACACAATAATACTTATTATTAAGCCTAATGCCACAACAAATGCTTAATTCTATTATATCACATTTTTTATATAATATTTATGGCGCTTAAAAGTAGGCAACACTTTTGTATAAAATGCCAGCAATTTAAATCTGACTTTGAGTAACATTTTTGATATAAAAATAAGTAAGACTTTTATAATCTGATCTGACTTGCTCCATTACATACTGATATATGCCAAACTACATCAAGATAGTTTTAAAACTGAGCTACCAATACACCTAGTTGGCTAAGTCAATCGATTAGTAATGCTGATCAGGCATAGATATAGCTTTCGAGTTTGCAGACGTTTTCTTCAAATATCAGGCTATAATAATACCCTATGAAAAGCTTAATGAATTATTAAACTAAAAATACATTGACAAGCAGAGCTCTCAGCTTTTGAGAAATCAGATAAGAAGGTTATCCGTAAGGGCTTTCAATAATAAACAGGCACTTAAAGTCCGATCCACACTTGAGTTATTTAGTGCACTCATCTGAGCATTTACATTAGCACACACACAATATACACACGACACACACACACACACACACTTGTGAGTGACAACGTCATTTAGACAACTTAACTCAACTCAACTCGACCCTGTCAGCGTTTTGGCCGCACATCAAATTCAATTTCATCGGCATGCACAGCATTTTGAGCGGCTTCTTCTTCTCCAAATGAACATAAAATAAAACCAAAAATAAAAAAATGAAATAAAGTAAAAAACAGTAAAGTTAAATAAAATAAACGGCGCATAAACATTTTGAAGCGCAACTGCGCCAAGTTGTTTGTGTTTTTATTGCCTGCACTTCGATTTCAAATACCCTAACCTGAATGGTTAGTTCATTTTATACTGAGCTAAGCAACTTGGCATTACTATAAATAAATAAAATATATTTGGCTGTTCAATATTGTTGCCTATTCGGCTTACTTTCTATGTAAGCCAATCTGTTTAATACCTTGAAAATGGGCGAAGGGTGTAAAATAAAGTTGCTTAAAAGCATGTAACAGGCAGGAAGCATTTACAAACTTATAAAGTATATATAACCTTGATTAGCAACAAGAGGCGAGTCGATTTAGTCATATCCCACTAATAATATCGGTTTTTGTGAATGGTTCTTTAAAATAATGTTGAATTTTGGTGCCAGTTCTAAGTTGTGGTTTCTTTTACGAATTGACTGCCTGATTTTAATATACTTGATGTAAATATCAAGTTATATAATATAATTATAGCTATAAGTGTATTCAAGCTTCAACAAGCAAAAAATGTTGTTTTCACATATTCATGTTGTTGGCTTGTTTAAAAATTCGATAAGCGCACTTTACAAAAATGCGGTTCAAGTATTTGGTCAAGGCTGCAAAATCTGCCGGTTTAATTGGCCGCAAATTGATTGGCTTAAGTCGCTTGCAAAACTGATGTATTGGCCAAATTAGAACTAAATGCACAACAAGAAAACAGGCAACAAACAACGTATAATTCATAACACAAAATGTTTGCCAAAGCTGCATAAATTTGCATTTGATTTACCAGAAACTGGGTCACAATTGCCAACTGAAAATTTAAGTGCGTTTTTCGTGCGTGCGTTGGGGCGTGGGGGCGTGGCAAACGCCCCCAAATAACAACCGGTTACGCAACAAACTGAAGACCGCAATCAGTTCACTCTTTAATAATCAATAGCATAGAGAAAAAGAGTAAAAGAATTAAATTCTATGCCAGTGAAATCTGGCCATAAAGATTACTTTCCACTTGTGGCCAAAGAGACCGCTTCAATTGTTAACGGCATGCGATAAAAGCCACTAATTGTTGGCCATTAAATATTGACAAGCCATTTAATTGTCACAAAAGCGACAAAGCTGAATTTGACATGCAAGGATTCATAATTGTTGCAAGCAACAATTATGACAATGACAATTTGTGTGGCTTATGCCACAAATCGATGAAGAGAACTCATTTGACAAACGAAAACTTTTTAAAGTAGTTCACATTGAATTTAATTCAATACTGATTCAACTGATTGATAGTTGAAATGAAAGTGGAAGAATAATACTAGAATACCATAAATTGTCGATGTATCTTTAAAGTATTCAATTTTAACAATCCAAAAACATAGGAAAGATCAATTGGAAAATGGGTTTTCGTTTTGTTTGCCAAGTTCAAAGACTCAATATCAACTTCATTACTACTATATCATATAGCTTTCAAGGAAATAATCGGTTGGGGATCTTTTTTCTGTCTTAATTTATAGTTTTAATTTAGATATCGGCCACCTGCAAGGTTATCGAATTTACAGCCTGCCTGAGTTAGCCTAAGATAAATACTTGTTAGCGCTAATTATATTTGCTAAACTCCATCAGCGGCGTCCTACAACACTCAATTAGGGTTTCTGTCTCTTTCCATTATCTGCCCCAACTTATCGCCACAGTAATTTATATTTTTTAAGCACTTACGCCCCCCGGCACTAAAGCCCAAATTAAAGTAAATAAAAGTCATTACACAAATTGTGTGTTCAATTTTTAGTTAAAATAGCACTCAAAAACTGGAATTGCTTCGAACACTTTCGAACAATAACAAAAATAACAGCAAGCCAAAAATTGTATAATCAAAATAAAGCACCGACAATTGGCAATCATTTCTGGTACAAATTAAAATTATATTACAACATTTAAGTTAGCCAGCGTCCAAGCACCAGACTTGGCCATTATGTTAGTCAGTTAACAAAAGTAAACAGGCTAGAATGTTGGCAATGGATGTGCTAAGCTTTGCAGATACCCTACAAATAGCCACGTAGGAATTGAAGTTGTCTAACGAGGGAATAATTTTTTGATCAGGTTGTCAAACAGAAACTGGAATCACAACTTGACCAATTGAATTACAATTAAAATAGAACCAGAACAAAATACGGAAGTAATGAAAAACATTTCAAGCCAATTCATAAACTTTAACCTTGATATCTTTTCTTGTGCTTATTGGGTGCTTAGCACATTTTCAAAATCAATTGGGTTTAGATATATCTAAACAATAATTACACTTATTTACACCAAGCCCACTTACCAATTATTCCACTTTAAACTTATATAATCAATCAGACAAACGAGACGTTTAAATATGCTCGGCAATCAGTTAAGTGCAGGGTATATCAGAAAGAAAGAAAATCCAAAAAAAACACCATAATTATATGAGTTCGAAACGCGGCCCAAATCGCAAAATGCAGTCAAGCATTGCAAGTGCTTTTGTCCCGGCCAAGAGACTTGTGCTATAAGCCAAGCAAACAAGTCTACAAATAACTGACCTGCCCAAAATAACCAGGCGGTCCAAAAGTGAAAGTCAATTGTTGTTGTTAAATACAGTTAGGTGCGGGATGGGGGCGGTTGGAGGGGAGGCTGTTAGCTGGTAGCTGCAGCATCAGGCGAATTGCGTATTTAACTGAAATGAATTTGCCGCAATTGGGAGAGTAAATTAAACAATTTTATTGCACACACTCCAAAAATGGATTGCTTGCAATCAAAAGACGACAATAAACCCGTTGAAAAGATTAGCTTCCTGCTAAAAACAAACCGCAAAAAACCGCTTAACCATTTTGGCCAACCAATTAATGCAGCTGCTTCTTGATTTGATCAGTTTGATTTAGCTTAAGGTTATGCTGAGTTTTCAAGTTTAACCACATTCGTTTGTTTTCATTGATTATCCCATTTCTCATGCCTGCTCTTTTCCATTCCCATTTCCCCATTCCTCTTGCCCCATTCAAAATCGTTTTTCTTTTTTATTTTCTTGTTTATGTTGTGCGTTTTGTTTTTATCATCAATTTCTTTGGTATTTTAACCTCTTTTGCGGTCTTTTGCTTTTGAACTCTTTATTGATTAACTCGCGCTTTTCGTTTGCATTTCAAACTGATTTGCATTAGAAATATTTGTTCCATTAATTAAATTGTTTTATAAGACCTAACTCAATATTAATGTTAGCCCATTCAAATATATAGATGAGCTAATCGATTATATATTTTATATATTAAAACATCCATCAATATTGAGAAAATGTGTTTGTTGTGTAAGGAAAAGTTGGGTAAATAAGTTAATAATAAAAAATACAAAAGCTGAGTCTATTTTGGCATATTCATCTGTCTGCTTGATCTCAGAGATTATAAGAGCTGGAGATTTCAAATTTTGATTAAAGTTCTCATTTAACGCATTTAAATCTCATTTCATTTTATCGAAAACTGCCCCCGTTTCGCATTTATCGATAAGAATCGATAAAACCACAATTTGATATATATTTTCTTACTCTTCGATATAGATTTATATATCTTGCAAGAATACTGATCATAGAAATAGAACAAAGAAAGAGAGAAGACCTTTTACCCAATGTAAATGAAAAAATCCACTTTTGGACAGTTCCAATGCGATTTTATACTGCATTCACTTTGTCAAAGCTTTGTGGAAACTTCGTCATGGTTTTTTGGCTCTGTTTAGTTTAACAGTGCATTAAAGTTTGTAAACGCAGCTTTTGTGTCGCATTTGTAATACACAAGAATGTTGAGCGCATTCCA